AACTCATGCAATAAACCCCATGATTGAATGCAACCTAAATGTGTATGGATTTGAGGGTTTATAGCATGTCCCCCCCCCTCTCTCTCTCACACACACACTCTTTATTTTTTCCTCCCAAGTTGGTAATTTCATTTTCAGTTCTGTGAGAGATTTTCAGACCACCGGGGATTTTTTACAATGTGAATACAGCTATATCTGGTACATAGCTTTGACATAGCTGTTCCTTGCAAAATAGTTCCGTTTGGCAACACAGACTGCGCCAAGAGGCTTGATACTTGGGTGCAATGTTTCTGAGGAGGAAAGGTCACCATGTTGTTGAATGTAACAGTAAGTAAAAATGGAAAAAATATGTATTGCCCAAGAAGAGAACTTGAAAGACAACTTGCCACCATGCAAGTACCTGGTGACTTAAGCTCCCATATTGCCTATGGCATAAGAAATTGCAGAAGGAAATAATGCAACACACAACACCCTCGACTGCGTGATTCCTCCCTAAACAAAAAAAGTAGTTGCCAAGTTTCTGAAAGTGTGTGATGTATTTGTCTTAATTTTGTTTGACTCTTTCCTCACAGGCGCTAAAAGATGCTAGCGATAATGCCCGCAAAGACTTCCACCGGGAGGCAGAACTATTAACTAACTTACAGCATGAACACATTGTGAAGTTTTATGGGGTATGTGTGGAAGGAGATCCTCTCATCATGGTCTTTGAATACATGAAGCATGGAGATCTTAACAAGTTCCTCAGGTAAATTCATAAAGAAACATCTGCTAATTATGTACAATAGTGGAAATAGCTTTTAGAGAAATAACGTTGGGCTAGTCTGTTGCAGCAAACAACAACAACAGCATTATAGCACCTTAAAGACTAATACATGCATTACAACACAAGTTTTTGTGGACTAGAGTCCATCAGGTATCCAACAGTGTTGGCCAATAATGAGAATATAGCCCAGATATTTCATAATTTGCATGTTGATGGGTTTCGGTTTTGTTTATTATGTGCCACCAAAATTCATGGCTTAAGTTACTATTTCAGTGGGTCTATGCTGAGTAAGACTTAGTCACATACAACCCTTAGCTTCCAATCCTATATATTCTTACCTGGGAATAATTCCCATTTAACACCATGGGGCTTACTCACATGTATACATTATAAAATGGCACACATCTCAGGCTAGGGCTGGGAGAAGCTTCCAGTGCACAAAAGGTAGGATTTAGACCCAGGAATGGGGAACATATGACTCATGAAAATTCTGCAAACCATGGGAAAGTGAAGAAGTAAACAAAAAAACTGGTGCTGAAACTATCCAGTCGACTTTAGGAAAGTAGATGTCAAGTGCTGTGAGAGATCATAGGAATTGAGCCATATGAAAACATTTAAAAACGGGGCACATTCTCAAAATCTGGCTCTGTCCTCCAATCCTGTGTTCCAAAACTATCCAGCCTGAGCTTATAGGATCATCTATGAGTGCATTGCATGGACCACATGATCTGGCACAATTATTGGGCTCCTGGAGATGCCTTTTGGATGCCAAACTTTATTTTGGAATTAGGTATTCTGTTAGGAAGGGTATTTTGGCAGTCATATTACCTAAAGACCACACATCAACAGTAAACATTCCTCATGATACCATTTTGAACAGAGAAATCATTTTCACTAGCTAATATTCTAATGGTGCAGTCCTACCCATGCCTACTCAGAAGTAAGCGCTATTGAATTTCATCAGGCTTATTTCCTGGGTAAGTGGAGTTAAAATTGCAGTCTAAATTAGGGATTGTCTTCACTTCCACATGAATTGTTCCTAGAAAGCGTGAGTCCAAGCAGTTTTGCCTTTGCCACACAACTTTCCCCCAGAAAACACTCTCTTTAGCACTAAAACAGAGCAAATGTCAGAGAAAACATGATTGACATTTGCTCTGATTCAGCGATAAACAGCAGGTTTTCCTGGGGGCAAGTTGTGGGGCAAGTGGCAATGTGGACGAGCCCTTAGTTTTGTCCATTTAATTTCACCTTCCCTGTCAACCTTCATTATCTGTGCAGGTGGTTGTCTGCTTTATGTTCTTGTACTTACATATGTAAATGCATTAGCGTCAAGATGCAGTCAACCACCATTGAAAAATTTAGGAGACTGAAACTCTAGTGCATATTTCTGCACACAAGTAACATTTCTTAAAGGCATCCAGTGGATCTAACCCATCCTCCTGGCTTGACACTTTATTAGTATGATAGAGGGAGAAGCGACGTTTAAGGAGGAAAGAGAAGAGATAAGGCCTCGTTGATATCTAGCATCCAAGCGTCCCCAGAAAGCTAGAGCAGGCCTTGTGTTCATGTGACCAGCGATTACGTCAACAGAAATCAGATTCCCAGATGACATCTAAGTCTGTGCGTGTACTGTTTGTACCACATGAAGGGACTGCATAGTTTAGCGAATGTACATAGGTTGAGTAGCAGAACTTGCTGCTGTGATCCTGTTTCTTCCCCTTCGTAAGTCCATTGTATAAAGGTAAAGGTAAAGGTAAAGGTACCCCTGCCCGTACGGGCCAGTCGTGTCTGACTCTAGGGTTGCGCGCTCATCTCGCTTAAAAGGCCAGGAGCCGGTGCCATCTGAAGACACTTCCGGGTCACGTGGCCAGCGTGACGAAGCTGCACTGGCGAGCCAGCACCAGCGCAGCACACGGAAACGCCGTTTACCTTCCCGCTATAAAGCGGTCCCTATTTATCTACTTGCACTTAGGGGTGCTTTCGAACTACTAGGTGGGCAGGAGCTGGGACCGAACGATGGGAGCTCACCCAGCAGCGGGGATTCAAACCGCCGACCTTATGATCAGCAAGTCCTAGGCACTGAGGTTTTACCCACAGCGCCACCCGCGTCCCAATAAGTCCATTGTATACACAACTGGCATCTAATGGATGCTTATACCTTTAAAGCATATTTGAAGCACCTTGTTTCCCTCAAAGCATTCGGGGCCCTATAGTTTACCACTCACAGAGCTACAATTCCCAGCAGCCCTCAACAAACTGCAGTGCCCAGACTGCTTAGAGGGCAAGAAGGTGCTTTGAATGTGCTTTAAAGGCATGATGTGTTTCACAGCAGGTCCTTCTTTAGCTTTAGAGTTCTTGATGTGAGATACCATTAGCATTCCCCATACTGCTTTGCTTTGGAGAGAGGAAGGCTGCCTAAATTGCGGTCACTGGGATACAGGCAGCCTGTGTTTAACAGCGCAGCCATTTCATCCCAAAAAGGCATGTGCCATTTCCACAGGGAGAATACCTTACTGGCAGCCTGGCCTGACACATGTTTACTTGGAAGTAAATCCCACTGTAGGCTTTACTCCCAAACAAATGTGGGGAGAGAGATCCATGCTATTAATAGACTGATAGTGCCAGCTGATGTGGCCTGGATGAGCCGCGCAAGGCAGCTTCCCACAATTGAATGCAAACATTAAAAATTCATAATAATGGCACCCGTTTAATAGCATTTGAAGCACTTATTCATTTACATTTGTCTCTTGAGTTTTGATTTGGGATTATACCACAGCAACACATGGTCTTTCTTTTGCACTCTTTCTCTCTGCCTTCTGTTGTTAGTTATTTCTCAAGTTTACGCTGAATGCTCTTGAACTTGCGCTTAAGTCTGGCTTTCTTCTGCCATTTGACGCAGCTTAATAAAAGGCTGCTTGCTGATCGTGAGGCAAAGGAACATTTATTTCTTACCCTGCAGCGCCCCCCATGGCCACCAGGAAAAAGTAAACTCTCTACGTCCTTCACAGTGCTGGCTTCCTGCAGTTCAGGGCCAAACTGCAGGCCAGGATCTGAAGGTCAGGAATCTTTCCTGTGGGTAGCATTTAGGCTTAGGAAGCCTAACCAACAAAATGAAATGTGGCAGTCACACACAGCTGTGTGTCGGTTATAGATATAAATTGGACAAAAATGAAAAAGAAGAGCCATTTTTCTTTTTATTTTTAAAAATCAAATTTATATGGAAATAATTCTAATGGATGATAGTCAAATATTATTAACAAAGACTAACTACGTATGATATGTGCCGTGACTGCAGAAGTATTGCTGCTTCACAGTTTGTTTTTCTGCCGATGTTAAAAGCTGCCCACACAGTTTTGAGGAGGAGGAGTTGAATACATGAAAAAAGGTGTCCTGTTTAAAGAAACCAGCCCTGAGTGCTCACTGGAAGGACAGATCCTGAAGCTGAGGCTCCAATACTTTGGCCACCTCATGAGAAGAGAAGACTCCCTGGAAAAGACCCTGATGTTGGGAAAGATGGAGGGCACAAGGAGAAGGGGAGGACAGAGGACGAGATGGTTGGACAGTGTTCTCGAAGCTACCAGCATGAGTTTTACCAAACTCCGGGAGGCAGCGGAAGACAGGAGCGCCTGGCATGCTCTGGTCCAGGGGGTCATGAAGAGTTGGACACGACTAAACAACTAAACAATCACGTTTTTCTAGGGATGAGTGACAGCCCTACATTTCAGCCACCATGTACATACAACTGTATGCACTTAATATGGGAGTTAGGAATTAAAAAGGGACCTGTATCAGATCTGCGGTGTAATCGTAAGGCTTGTGTGAGTTTTCTCACATGAAATGCTGCTGTAGTTAATTTGCGACATTCCAGTCTGTGAAACAACAGTGCAGCTGTTTATCTCTTTAGGATCTGAGTGCCCAGTGACACAACCTTCACATTCTCAAGTGAGGGCCACTTGAAAGCATGCGCTGGTCTCCTCAAGCCCATGGCAAGCCAGCCTTGTGCTTCTACCACCTGCAACAAGGATTTTGCTGTTGCTTCCCTCAAAATCTCCTTGCTCGTTTTCAAACTCAGCTTTTCTTTTATTTTCAAAATATCTCCAATGATTGTGGAAGAAAGCTTTTAAACATGAATAAAGCAATCTGTTCTACGGCTGAGCAAGCAAAATGATACAGTAAAAAAAGGCGGGATTTTGACAGTACAAGTCATCGTGTCCCATCCTTTGGGTTTCTGCTTTGGCCTTTATCATCTTTCTTTTTGTTTTCCACTCTTTTTTATCCTCTTCTACTCCAGTTCCTTATTTGTTTATTCATGTGTTTGTTTAAAAGCCCATGTCGTTCTACAGACACAAAAAACAGAAGTGAATGCTTGCGAATTCGCATAATTGGAAGACTTCATTCCAGTGACTGCATCTGTATTTTTTGCTCTCTGTTTTGAGCATTTATGACAGATTGTTAAACTCTCCCCCCAGAGATGTATCCTCAGATATGTATTCTGTGTTCTAAGGGCTGAAGTTCTGAGATTTGCCTTCATGTCAGATTGCACAAGTCCGAAGTGAGAAGGTACTAGGATGGGTACATTCTGTTAGAATTCCTGCTCCATGATTGCAGTCATGGAATTTTTTCGTCTATCACATGACTGTGTATGTTTTGACTCCACAGAGTAGGAAGTGATGGAGACAGGATGTTTGTGTTACTGTGTTCCGTGAAGTGGGACTATTGTCCTTTGTTCTTTCTCTTTGCTGTCTGGTGCTAGAGAGAGAGGGAGCCATGTTGCAGTGCTCCGTGTGTGTTTATATGTAAATAAAGTAGATTAGCCAAAATGCTGAGTTGCTGAGGTCTGTTACGCAAGCTGCAAAGACTCTGCGGATCCCTAAGTGTGCCGGTGTCTGTTGGCATCGGTCGCTGTGAGGTTCGGGCTGAAGAAAGCTTTTGAAGCTCCCGAACAATCGACCAGGAGGGAGAGAACATGCCAGTCAGGCATGTGTCTCTGCCAGGGTCCTACTCGAGTGTAGGGCAAGTTCCTGATACATTCCATCCCAATCTTTCTTTGTAACCTTTGTCTTGGGTCTTATGAATCAGTGGGACAGAAGAGGAGCAAAATTATCCAGCCCATCCCTCCCAGTCACCAGTGCAATAGCTATTCTGCAAGACGATAGCTCAGAGCCAGCAGGAACACTCGCCTAGTGGCATTTGTGTTGTCACTGGTGTAAAACCATTCTGCTACTGATGTTCTCACAGAGCTTGTTCCACAGTTTGTAGTGAGGATTATTTTACCTGAAAGACTGCTTGTGTTTCAAAGTCTCTCTCTGGGACTAATGAAAGAATGCACCCCACCAATTTGCTTTCTTTGTATTGGAATGTAAGCTGTAATCTATGCCCGCTGTCCTATAGCTGGCAGAGGGATGTGTAATGAGCAAAACAAGACAGTTCACGTATATTAATGTTTTGTCTGTTAATAACTTGAGCAACACCCTTCTTTATTTTTCTTTGGTTATTAAGAGTCCATTTCCAGAGCTTAAATGGCTTCGGAGGGTACTACTGAGCATTGAGTACAATAGTTTCATATTATAATTGGCTTTCCTCCATGGAGTCCAAGGCAGAATATGTAGGGTTTCTATGTGTTCTGCTAAGTCTTGGCAGAGACCAGCAAGTCCCTTTTCATTTGTAGAGACAAGGGCTCATCCACACGCACCCTTTGCCTCTCACTTTCTACGCATGTGTTCACACTTTCCCAGCCATGCCCTGCCTCTTGCCCCAGGAAAACCTGCTCTTTACTGCTGAATCAGAGCAAACAGCAATTCAGGCGTTCCACAGATTGCTGTTTGCTCCAGTTTAGCGGTAAAGAGCAGGTTTTTGCAGGGAAAGTCCCAGCGGGGCTTGGACAGGAACCTGGAAAGCCAGGACCTGAGCCTAGACATGCAGAGCAAAGCTAAGTGTGGATGAGCCCGAGGTCTGTTAATCCAGGCCTTGATGTTTTCATGAATCATACAACTGAGATTCTTAACCTGGAAAAGGACTGTTGTTATAGGAGATATAAACTCAATAAGCACTTTGCCTGCTCTTCAAAACAGATGGTCATTAAAGAGATTGGGGCACATGGATCTTCATCTCCCATATGGTTCTTCCATTGTGTGTGCATGTTTTAAACTTAAAGGAAATGAATAAATGGATCTGCTTACACTCTCCTGTGTTCCATACAGGGCACATGGACCTGATGCAGCTCTGATGGCTGAAGGGAGTCATCTAACTGAGCTAACCCAGTCACAGATGTTACATATTGCCCAGCAGATTGCAGCTGGCATGGTTTACTTGGCATCACAGCATTTTGTGCATCGTGACCTTGCCACTCGGAATTGCCTGGTTGGTGAAAACTTACTGGTGAAGATAGGAGATTTTGGAATGTCAAGAGACGTGTATAGCACAGATTACTACAGGGTAAGTGATTTGTTGTTTTTAATAACTTTGGCTTCAGTCTGCCATCTTGTTGCAAGCCAGTAGTTGTGCTGTTATTTTTAGAGGTTGTGTCATTCTATGGACCTTACTGATTATTTTTATCTTACTTAATTTTGTTCTAAACTGCCATGTGGCTTGTGCAAAGAGTGATACAGAAACCGTTATTAATCTACAAAGCAGAAAATGTTAGTAGAGTTGAGTTTAAAGTGTCAAGGATGGACACTTTAGGAAATATATCCTGCTGAGTGCTCCAGTGGGTATAGTATTTGACTTTTATCTGGGAGACCTGGATTAAAATCCCTACCCGGTCATAAATCAATTGAGGGCCAGAGGGCAATTCATTAACTGTTAGACTGATCTTTCACTCTGTAAAACTGAAATATTATACATCTTGTATAATATACACTTTATGGCTGCCACTTGCATACTTGGGGCCAGTTGCACCAGCAGGAGCACAACAAGGCTTTCCCCGCTCCTTCGCCCAGACCCCACCAAGCTTGCCCAGGGGGGTCAGGAGAATCCCAGATCGGCACACCAAGGGGGGAGATGGGAGTTGGTTCCTTTGTTCCATAATAGTGCAATGTTAAATTCATCCTTTGGCTTTGAAAATAAATAAACCGAGACAATTTTCAGTGGTGATTTCTAGCTATGTATGATATCCAAAAATGCAATTCTGTAGTCGCAGAGAATATAACATGCTGACCACCAGATGTTGGGAAGAAATAGTCGGCTCCACATATTGCCGGCTTGTCTTGCTTTATGAATTTCCTTGAGCCGTCTGGCTGGCCAAAGTCTCAGACTAGCGTTCTGCTGGAAAATGCCTTCTGCATTTTTTCATGAATATTCTGCATCCATTAATGAGAAAAGAAATTGCATTCCAAAATTTTCAAAGGGGAAAGAAAAATTAAGTAAAATTCTCATGGGTGAGATGCAAGATTTTTGTTGCACTTACTTCTGAGATGAGCCGAGGTTCTTGTGAGTGTCCTTTTTTTCATTCTACAAGTCATCTCTCCAGTGATTTGCCTTCTTCAGTCTTCCCAAGCGCCTGCCCTGAAAACCCCATGATGTCATTGCTGGACTCTTTCTAAGCAGGGTAACCCAGGGAGGCTGCCTACCCTGCTCCTGGCAGATGTTCATTTGTGAAAATAGTAATCTTTTTACTTATAAAGAAATCAGTGTGGATTTAAATTTTTTTTTTTAGGTAAAAGGGAGCACTTTCTTAAAACAACAAAACCAGTGAGTGCGCCCATTGGTCAGCCTCCCCAGTGTTCAGTTAAAGCCCAGGGGGAGACATTCCTCCCCTGAGACTTAAGATCAGGAAACACCACACTCACTGAAATTATAAAGAAATTCTAAAGCTCCCTGAGCAATGAGGCAGGTAAAGAGAAGCCTCTTTTTCAGAAGAAAACTTTTGAGAAACAGCTTTTGGCACATTATTTTCTCAGTGAAGATACTGACCTACTGAACTCTGATTCTGATCCAACATGCTAGCTGTGAGTTGATAACTATTAAAAATGAAATAGCTGTTTGGCTAATCTTTTCTTTTATTCCTGCTCACGAGTAGCTTACAAGTTTCTTCTGAGACCTGAGAGCTCGCTTGCCATGAATAAGGAAAAAGCATTTCTCAATGAATGCTGACTGGTCAGTTTGATCTGCCACGTCATATCAATGATAACACAACCACCATATCAGTTCTTAAGCCTGAGAGAGACCAGATCTTACTGGAAAGAAAATATCAGTTAAAAATCATGCATCACAACTGACCTATTAATGGGTTGCATGTTGCTGCGATCTCACAATGCCTACCTTCCGATGGTGACATAATCATGTTCCCATGCATTTGTGTTTGATTTGTGAACTCCCTGCAGAGCAACAAGCGTTCAGTCATTGCTTATGGATCAATTTGTTGATCAACATACAAAGGACTTCACAAAAGATAAAAGCTTCAGTGCTAAACTGATTATTTATTGCTGTCTTTGTTGCTAACTTCTTTTAATGAGGCAAGTGGCTGTGGTTATTGTAAAGCAACAAGTCCTGGGCTAACAGCATTTGGTTTTGATCACATGTAAATAAAGAGGCGTGCTCTTTAGCCACCTCATTCTTCGCTTAGTGGCCTAGTTCTGTGAGAGGACAGAACCGATTTTGAGCAGTTCCATTGTCTGCAGACATCCTGCTTCAAAAGTGAATTGTTACATATGGCTTAGTGGCAAGGCAGAGGAAACTGCGCCACCACACAAGGACAGTATTTATTTTCATACAACTGTTTTAATTAAGAGCCGAAAAAGAACACTCTTATTTTGGTTTGCATTGTCTGTTGCTTCCTCCAGTGATCCATACTTTGCAATTAGTGAACATCTGAACTAGATTTCTGTCACATGTTGTCTTCCCAAGCTTTAGCCTTCCAAGCTAGTACATTGTTACACTACGAAAATGACATCACATCACACGAGCGAACATGACTTTCACGTGCAGTTTTAAGACCTTGGGGCAGGAAAGGGTTGCCACTGGCTAATTTGCATCCGCAAAGTTTCAGCACTTTTTACACTTTAAGAGACAATAATGCCTCAAGGGCAGTAGCTTCAAAATAAGTCTATCTGGCAAGTTAGGTTACATCTGCACCATACATTAAAAAAAAAACAAAACCCTCTTATTCTACTTTAACAGTCATAGCTTCTCCCAGAGAATCCTGGGGAAGGTGGTTTGCTAAGGGTGCTGGGAATTGTACCTATACTTTTAACAAACTACAGTTCCCAGGATTCTTTGGGAGAAGCTATGACTGTTAAAGTGGCAGAGGAGTGCTTTAAATGTATGGTGTGAGTGTCAGCTTAGAGGAAGAGAGATCACAAAGCCAGGGTCATCTTAAGCATATCCGGTGCCATGGTGCAAAGATCCCTCCAGCACCCCTCCCCTTCCCAGAGTTGTTGACCTTTTTTTAGGGCTGGAGGAGGGGGGCAGCAGCTGGAGGGCGGCTCCTCCAGCGGGGAAGAGGCGGAGGCTGGATGCGACGCCACCCAGATCAGCTGGCCGCTTCATGCCGCAGTGGCCATGGCAGGCAGCACACCGAGTGAACGGGCTTGCGCTGAGTGAGCGAGGGTACGTATGCCGCTCCTGCTGAGCGTTGGCTCGGTTTTTTCCCTTTTAACCTTCTGGCGCCCCGCAGAATTTGGTGTCTGCAGGCTAAAAGGGAAAACACTGAGCCGATGCTCAGCGGGAGCGGCACATGCACCCTCGCTCACTCAGTGCGCTCGTTCGGTGTTCCCCGGACTCTCGCCTGGCGCCCTCCAGAACTCGGCGCCACTTGCCTCTATGGGTAAGACGGGCCTGCACAGAGCGCTTGCTTTCTATCATGGAAAAATATCCTTCCATAACAGGGTTTTCAAACTCTCTTCTGGGGAATCCTGGAACTCCTCAATGGAAAAAAATAAATCAGTAGTGGCAGACCAGCTTCCCCCAAAGCCAGCTTGCCAGTCACTTCTTGTCTTCCCCAGCAGTGGACAAATGAATGCACAAGACTGTTTTAGGACACATTCTAAGGTACGTTTTCAACCCACATGCGACAATGGTGATGCTAGGACATGCCCCAGAATCCTTTGCAACACAGAAGGGCCTCCACTATAAACATTTCTTAAATTTATATACTGCCTTTCATCTGAGGATCACAAGGCAGTTTACAATACAAAAAACACAAAAATACATACCATAGTGACAAACAAAGACAATACACGCAGTTTAAAAGGCCATAAATATTTTTATTTTATTTAAACATCCTCAGTGGGCAAAGCAATATAGGAAGGGTTCCTTGATGTCAGAAAGCCTTAAAATCAGAATCTTAGGTTGTTTGTAGTTTATAGTGCCCACTGTGGAAGTAGGAGAGAAAAGAGAGAAGCAACACAGAACTAGATGGGAAAATACTACTACCTTATTTGTCATAATTCAAATTAATTTGGCCTAAAAAGGAAGGGCCTTTGTCTTCACCTGCCGAATTGCTGAGAGTTGGCTTCTGCACCAGCCTAGCCTGGCTGCTAGGTAAACTTTGAAAGAACAGTAGCAGACAGAGGTCCAACTCAGGCGAGTCTCTATGCCCTCAGCCATTCTTCTGGGGTGTGGTTAAGCCTTCTTTCAGTTGCTAGATTGGTCCGGTGTGCCCAAAGCTCCCAGGACCTCTTAGTTAGCCTTCCTTTATTGCAATGTGTCAAAAGTTGCTCCACCCTAAGGCCCTAGTTCCCTTCTAAAGCAGAAGTGGGACAGTGACATCCTAACATTTCCCTGAACCAACATGGGAGGAAATGATTGTCTTGATAAAGACAAATAGAGATAATGATCCTATCCTGGACATGGACAGGACACTTGCGGTACTGAGGCCAACGACATGTCCTGTTGATCCCCATCCATTATGATTGATGAAATCAAGTAGGAGGGGATTGACTAGGAGTGGTAAGTACCACACCACTTGAGGGAGTTATGTCCACCACCTTGAAAGAGGTGGTAGTACAACCTCTCCTGAAGAGGACCAAGTGATTTTAGGAAACGTTCACCCAGTTTCTAGTATTCCCTTCATGGACAAGATGATTGAGAGGGTGGTGGCCAGCCAGTGGCAGGTGTGTCTGGAGGAAGCAAATTATCCAGACCTCTGGTTTTAGGTCTAGTTTTAGCACCAAGACAGTCTCTGCCACCTTGACCAAGCTATGCGAGAGGGACAGAGTGTGATCCTGTTGGTTCTCCTTAATCTCTCAGTGGTTTTTGACACCGTTGATCAAGGTTTCTGGAACATCTCGGGGGGTGGGAGTTGGAGCCATTCTATTACAATGGTTCTGTTCTTGCCTGCAGGGCATTTAGGCCATGGGGTCCTCAAGGGGTCTATTCTGTCTCTTACGCTTTTCAACATCTATAGGGAGTCGTCATCCAGGGATTTGGAGCATGGTGTCTTCAGCATGCCGATAATATGCAGCTTTATCTCTCCATTCCATTTATACCAGAAGAGGCTGTGAAAAATTTGGATCAGTGCCTAGAAGCAGTGATGGGCTGGATGGGGGCCAGTAATCTGAAGCTGAATCCTGATAAAATCCAAGTGCTGTGGGTGGGTGGTTCTCAAGTCCTGGAATTAGGTGAGTGATCTGCGGGGTGAGTTGCACTCCCCGTGAAGACACACTCATGGTCTGGGAGTGCGCCTTGATTCAGATCTGTCACCGGAATCCCAAGTGGCCTCAGTAGCTAGAGTTGATTTGTTTTTCGTTTGACAGCCATAGCTGTTTCTGAGCCAGAATAGCCTGACTGCAGTAGGCCATGCTCTAGTGACCTTGCATTTGGGCTCCACACATATGCTCTATGTGGGGCTGCCCTCAGTGACAGCCTGGAAGCTGCAGCTAGTGTGGCAGACCAACTGGACAATGTGTCACTGGTCTTGAAAACACAATACTGGCTGCCAGTGAACTACCAGGCCCAGTTCCAAGTACAAGGCCCTAAACAGTGTGGGAGTGAAAACATCACCTCCTGCAATATCAACCACCAAAGGCCATATAAACAGCAGGGGTGGCCACAGCAGGCTGCCTAACTGGTGCTGACTTTCCATCAGTGGTTCATCTCCACCCCCATTCCTGCCTTTTAGTGACATTTTAGGGTCACTTCCAGATTCAGTGCCATGCATGCGTGCATGATTATCATTTGGATGTGCATAAATTGGTTGTTGCCTGTATTTAGGCAGAATTTTAAAGCAGGCCTGCTTACCCAGGTATCTGAAGTCTCTTGCATCCTTGAAATTAATTAGCTGGGAAGATATTTGAAGGTTTTGCTTTTTTAAAAATCTTTGTATTGTTTTTACTCTTTGCATTGTTGTTTGGGAGGAAGGTTGGGTAAAAGTATGATCAAAGCAAGACATTGATCAGCTGTAAAAGACACTGGAACGTATAGTAAGCTTGTGTCTTTTTACTATTGAAACTGCATATTTGCCACTGAATGTTGTATCAGCTGTTCATTTGCCTGATCTGTGTATCTCTTAGCTCTGCGGTGCATAGTGGAAAAGCAAGTGTTGGTTACCAGTGTCTACATAACCATCTTTATTAATGTGTTAGTAACCGGCACTCCATGACGCCTGCACTGCTTTGCTGAGATATTAGTTTGCATCCAAAATTATTGTCTGCTGCTTGCCTGTTTACATGGCAAATAGGCCCGGCCCCTTCTGCTCTGTCAGATTGTTAATGATATTCTGCACTCTGTCGGCACAGCTATTAAGAGATGCTGCAGGGACAACTGTGGAGAGAGATAACCTTTGGATAATTGGCATGTTGTGCTGTTGCATGGTGCTAGCTACAAAGGCTTTGTTTGTTTGTTTGTTTGTTTGTTTGTTTGTTTGTTTAGAGCCTCTCTGAAATCGTACAACAGACAGGCGGGGAAAGTACTTCTATTGTCCAGTGCAGGAAACATGTAAAAACATGATAGTTCTTTTTAAAAGCAAGCCCACTATGTCTTAAGACATGAATGACATATAGCATTTCCCCCCTTTCTTATTCTGTGACAGAGAAAACAAAATGATAAATTATGAGCATCAGATTTGGTTGGCATGCAAACCCCAGATCTTGACAATAAGTATTGATCCCCCCCCCAAAAAGTGTTCTTTCAACATTTTGCAAAATTGCAGCCTTATACAACTGA